GATTCACGGGGCTTGCGGCTGTGCGCCTCGGCTTCTGCATAGGTTTGCCCTCATCACTCACCTTGCTGCCCTGATAGAGGAAGAGCCAGAGTCCATCGTCCTGCCGGTCGGGGCCGATGCGTTGCTGAGGAACTTAACGAATTTCGTCAATGGTCCCGAGCTGAACGCGAAAGCCACAGCTCTGTGGAGGCGCTCCCTCAGTAAACTGCGACTGCAGCTTAACCCTCAAGGCATTGTCACGAGCAAGGCCAGCATGACTGACCTTACAGCGGAAGCTTGGCGGCTGGCAGCCATGATCTATCTGCACTGTCGACTATCGCGGCTACCGCGTTCGCATCCAGACGTTGTTAAACAAATGTCATACCTTGCAGCTTGCATCAGGCGCATGCCGACCTCAGGACCGCTGTTCACTGCCCAGGCCCCTTTCTTTCCTGTATTTCTGCTGGGGCTTCTGGCTGTGCACCCTGATCACAAGCTCTGTGCTGAAGGCTGGTTCCAGTCGGTGATACAAACATCTTGTCGCTCGGTAAGTGTAGACAATCTGACATGCCGCCGTGGGATGTAGCTAAAGACGCCTGAACAGAGCGTCCCTCCAGCGTATGAGGCCTTGCAACGCATTCGACATTGGATGAAAGACGAGATAGTCGACGATGACGTCGAGATACCCGAGAATATCGCGTTGCGATCTCCATGGTGGGAAAAGATGGTTGCACGAGTCACCGAGGAAGAAGGCATCCTCTGCCTCATCTGAATCTACTTCCTCGGAGAGTCTCGCGAGGCTTTTAAGATTGAGTCTCATTCTCATTCATCCCTGTCTTGACTCTGTCCAAGAGCCTCTTCTATACCTATATACTCTCCTGGGAGAGATCGTCGTCATGTGGTCATGATGCGAGACCCGGAGGTGATATTCTGAAGCGTATCTATGGTTTCTCTCAACGTTTCTTCCCAGAAGCCGCCACTTTTGGATTCATTCCCCGATCGGTCGCCCGTGTCAGCAGCTTGGAAGAGTCCAAAGAACTACTGCATGTCACTGATGGCAGAGTCAGCAGGCGAGCCTGCTCGGCCTTTCTTCCGGAGCAGGTACTGGTCTGTGCCATGTCAGCATTCCGGACAGTCTATCACTTGAGACCAGGGTGTCATAGCATTGACCTGAAGAGGGTGTTGGGGGGGAAGGGGTTCACATACACATCTCCGATCCAGGGGCCTTCCAGACCTTGAGGACCTCCAAATTGGCAAGGCCGCAAAGCTGACGGACCCTGTCGACGCCGTTTTTGTGTGCATCGAACCAGTCCATCTCGCACCCCGAGTGTAAAATCCGTCCCTCAGCAATGTCAATATCACGGCGGGCACGGAAGTAGAAACGATGGCGGCATTGCTTCTCATCAAGCTCCGCACATATATCCCAATCGTCAGGTTTGAGGATGTCGCCGCCGAGCAGGCGGTTCGCGTGCTCAAATCCGTTGGCCCAGAATCGGGCAAAGAGGTCCTCGTGGGCGTGGTAGGCAGCCCAGATCTTGTCGCGATGGTCGGCCAGGGTGTGTCCATCCATACCGGCAAGGATGATATCCGATTCCTGCAACAGAGAAGCCCACTTCTGGAGAGAGGTGAGGGCTGTGTGAAACTCGTCGTTGAAGAGAACGGAACCAAGAGAGAGGAGCACGCGTGGTGTCGAGGGTGGAAGGGCGGCAACAAATGCGTAGCCTGCAGAGAAGTCGCCCCAAAGGCCGGCGGTCAGGACTCGCGAGTGTTTGGTTGACAATGTCTCAAGATTGAACGAAAGAGAGGCTTTGGAGATGTCTAGAGCAAGGTAGGTTGTCTTGGACTCACGCTGCTCAAGCTCGGCCAAGAGGATGCCAACTTTGCGGAGGTCGCTGTATCATGTCAGTTTGTTTAGTACACAACGGCGTTGGGGAGTGAATCTAAGTTTTCGGAAGCATCTTGAATACTGCGGCGGTGTGTGGACGCGAGAACAAGAAAGACAATAAAGTCTAAGGTAGGAAATGGGGGAATGAACACACCCAGCACCCAGATCAACCATGACAGATTTCTCCGGGATATATGTGGCAATCTCAGGACTGTTGGCCTCGAAAAGTTTCATCTCATCAGTGGCCTGATAGTTCTCAGGCGTGAAGATGATCTCGGCCCAGATGGCGAGCCCCTTGTCGTCGTATAGGAGCTCATCGGGAAGAACGATGGGGCTTTCCTCAGGGGTATCGTAGAGGGCGTCACGAAGACGAGTCAGGACCGTAGCACCCATGTTCGAACCTCCAATATCGATGACAGCACCATGGGTGATGTCCGCACCGATGACGGTCTGCGTCTTCTTAGACATTGCAATTGTAGAGTGTGGGGACGGTGTTCGCTAAGGGTCCAGTGCTGATGATTTGCTAGTTTACGAGGCGAATGTGAGACAGCGTGAAGAAGATTTGGTTGTTTTGCCCAATGTCTTAAGGAGCAATTGTCGAGCAGAAGGAAATCTGTCTTGCTTTCTTTCCATGGATCGTGAAGCTTGGGGTGTGGTGTGAGAAAAAGGTTCTCATGTAGGCCGTCTTTATAGGAATAGAAATTGAGAGTAGTGGTTGAATACGGGATCCCATTGATTCATGCTTCTTGGTGAATATAAATCCCATGTGAATCGAAGGTATGTGGTCGTTGGGGGGCGAGACGCTGTGCGGACCATGTGTGATGGAATGTCAGTTGCACAGTTGGTCGCGCCAGTCCAGCGAAGACGGTACGCGTGTCGCGGTGAATGAAGGTCTGATAACAATCCGCTCAGTAACGGCACCGGGACTTCGCTTGTACGCCAGAAGAGTTTGCAAAATTCGTGAATGCTCTAACATACTGAGAGACCAAGGTAGTGCTACGCCGTGGAACAGCGAGATATTTATGACTTTGACGTCCATGTTTGTTGAGGAGGGCTGAGAAGAGCCTCTTGACACTCCTCTGACTTTGTCTCGCCTCCCACCACCCCCTCCTCCTTTGACCCTCTCCGCAACAGTCTATTCAGCATAACAGACGGCCGGTCATGTCAGCGTAGCCATGTCGTTCTGGTTCACCGTCGGAGCTGCAGTCCGCTTCCGGGCTATACAAGGGACCAATAACTCAAAGCAGAAAGTATGCAGCATGCGCCAAGGTGGCCATTCAATCAGCCTTGCCTTCTCCAAAATGATGCCCCCGTATCCCTGCTCCTAGCCCCCCCTTCATGTGCCCAGCTTGCAGACCACCCTACGATTGCCATGAAGCCTGGACCCCCACCACTGACGACAGGCAGGCCTGTGACATGCCACACGATAGGAACAGGGTCCTTCAGTTGACTTATTACGTCGCCAGCCGTCCTGCGGCTTGAGATTCATCATCACACACCAAGACGCCAGCCAGCAGAGTCGTGGTCCCCCGAATATCATCGGAGGAAACATGAGGAGGATCGTGCCCTCCACCCCCCTCTATCTGCTCGTGCCGCTATCAAACAATTGTTCTCTCTCAGAGACACGGCCCATCTCTAGCGCCGGCTGCGAATCGGAGCGTGCCGAGTCCTTGGTGACAGATAGTCCATGCACGGGGAAAGAGGGGACCGTCGTCAATGCACAATCTGGGAGCCCTGCGGGACCACGAGGTTACACCATGTCGCGCGCACCACGGTTCCCAAGAACTGGCCATTGGCCACCCCACTTACGAGAGTGGTTCTACCAAGGGACGGGCTGCGCCTGAGCCAGTGGCAGCAGGCTTGATCAGGCGGCAGCATGGGTTGGATCAAATGCTCCGGTCAGATCTCACATGATATACACCCAAAGCACAACCAGTCCTGCAAGATTGACTTTCCGCGAATTGCCGTGTGCCAACTTGGCTGGCTGGCATTCAAAGGCGGCGTACCGTCCACGGCCAAGACGTAAGAGATTGGGGGGCGGGGGCCCGGGGGGGGGGGGAGACAATCGGTAAGAACGAACTTCAACAATTCATCACAGTTGACCTCTCTTCAACCAGGCTGCTTGGGGATGCGGTCAATCCGGGGTCTCAGTTGGACAGCAGAACTGAAGAGGATCGGCCCTGCAGCGTAGATCAAGCGGGCAAGTGGCATGTTAGAAGAAGAAATCAAATAACCCACGGAACTGGAGACGCGGATTCCAGGAAGACACGTCCGGGGGTTTCACGGACAGTACTCCGCTAGGCTTGCAAGTCGTTCGCTGGCGGACCTCCACGTCGTCTGGCAGGGTTCTTTCTCCGTGACGCGGGGGGGTCGGCTTCTGCTAGGTTGGAGCGAATGGATCCTTGAGTATCTGCAACGGGTGTCAGTGCAAGCGCCACCGAACGAAAGTATTTCTTTTGGTGTCGTCTGGGTCCCCTTTCCACCAGGCAAAGACGGCCAATGTTGCCCGGTCAAGTCAGATGACGATATCGCAAGCGCTCCGCAGCCATGGACCCAGACGACCCGCAAGGTCTGGGGGCCTCTTTTGTTCACCGCCTGGCTCAGGGTGTTGACCGAGAAACTTGTCCTGACGCTGGAGGTCTCCTTCACAGCAGAGTCCGAGAGGGCGGATGCGACCGTGTGGCGCCGCGATAAAACGGTCCTCATGATGACTGCAGCTTCGTCTGCCAACGCCAAGCTATTTCAGTTGTGCCATTGGGGCGTCTGGGTGCAGCTCGCGTCGCAACAGCAGCACCAATCTTGAAAGATCCAGACCCGACTTCTGGGAGCTCCCCGCCCCCTCTCGATATCCTGGACACGGCTTCTCTTCCCAATGGACAGCAGTAAAGGATGTGTGTGACAAACATTGAAAGCTGCGTCTCTTGCTGACTGAGTTGGACAAATCAAGACGTCTTGGCCCATGTCGACATCTGCGGATGGCGAGCCGGGGGACAACCTCCACCTTTTAGCGTCGATAGCGTCGATATCTAGATTAGTCGACATCTCTCCCCTGTCGCGTCAGTCTGGGTCTCTGGGACATGCTGCTCGGATGCTTGGCTCGACCGGTGAGAAGTGCCAGTCTTCCGGGGCGGGCAGGCAGGTCACACCAAATCGTCCCCGCATCCCACCGACCACAACACCGCCCCCATGTTGCTCAGCAGACGGAAGGTTGACCTCGATGGCCATCCCGGACGGAGGGGGCGAGCATCTGGGCTGTACGTAGAGAGAGCCTCAAAGCCGTGAGACCGACCCGTCAAGTCGCCTTAGTCAGGGTGACATCCCAGCCCGGAAGCCCGTGCCTCTCTCTATCTGTGCCAACGTGCTCTCGGAGAATTCTTACGTTCGAGGGGGGGGGGATGATAGGGCCATTCAGACACTTGGGCCACGGTATCGTGATCCCTGAGAGTCAAGGGTGCGGAGCTCTCGCCAGGTGTAGCGCCCTTTTGCATCGACGGACCCCTACCGATCAGCGTGGAACGGTGGAATTGGTCGGCTTGATTCATGTTGACACGATGCCGTCGGTCTTCGAGCAGCTTGGCAACGGCTGGCCAGGGGCCCCTTCTCTTTCACCCAACGTTGCCTCTACTTGAGACGTTCTGGGTTCTGCGCGCTGGCACTCAAATGCTGCCTCGGAAGCACCATGACTTACAATGCTTTGGACGAGAGTCGGTAGTGGATCCTCTTCCAAGAGTTGGATGATCACGCGGTGTGTGCACGATCGTGGACCGCGAGCTGTCCATTGCTTCTGTGAGGGTCCTCGAAGCCGTCCCAAGCCCTCAGCCACGTTCGGTCCAGCAAGCAGGCCAGCTGTAGATCCAAGTGTTGATCGATCTCGGTGTGCACTCCTTCTACCCACCACAAGTCACCCTTGCGATATGGGTGTGACCAGTAGCCTGACATCGTAGAGGTCCAAGGTCCCAGGCGGGCGTTATCCTTGTTCTGACCCAAGAGCACTCGAGGCCTGCAGATGTTCCAACGAGCCGAGTCTTGACCCGTGACTCTCATTCGGATCACTCCTGGTCACGGGCGGGATGCCGTGGCCTTGACCTTGCTGTCCAGTACGCCCAGGGGGGTTCACCGTCGCAGAGTCGAGCTCCAGCCATTGCGTCGTGGTGGCGCATCGAGCTTGGTCGCGATCACAGAAGCTTTCAGATGATACCGCGTACATGACCACTCTGGGAGAGAGTGAGCGTCAGAAACAAGTGGAAGACCTTTCTCCGCCGGGTAGCCGGATCTCATGGTGAAACCGGTATCCAATTCTGCAGCCTCACCGTAGATCATCGGACGGATATCAGGAATACAACCCATGTTTCAACTTCGCCAAATGGAAGTGGAGTCTCTCCTTCGCGTCCAAAGCCGATGACCAAGTCCAGTTGTTGCACGTTTGTTTCTGGTAAATGGGCCCCTGCCATGACTCGAGTGCCAGTGAGGCGCAACATTGACGGATCATGTGATCAGAGATGTTGCGGCGAGCACTGTGGCAGGTGAATGTCGTCCCCTTTTCTGTGTGCATCTAAGGTCACAGGCGTGGCAAATAAGGCAGCAATCGCGATTGTGATGCTTGGTTTAGGATGTACCTAGACGATGCTGATCAACTGCCATCTATCTGGTAAGCGGCTCTAGGTTTGAGTACCCGAGTCGCCCTACAGAAACTCACGCACCACAAAGGGGTTTGCTGCAGTACGTCGGCCACCAGAGCTGCCGGCACGTTAAACTACCAGTCAAGATTGATGGCGGCATCAGATTGAAGTATGCGGGTGTTGAGGGCAGCGAGTGGTGTTCATCCAAGGATGATGTCTTGCTCTGACTAACGCTGACTTCCTGAAGAAACGTCTGAATCTAGCTGGCCAATGAACCCATTTCCAACCCATTGTCATTGCAGTGGAGGGTGGCGCCAGCGCTCCTCACGTAGAAAAGCGTGTCTGATCAAGCTCAATATACGAAGAAGGGCTCTTTCTTCCATCATACATGCGTCGCCTAAGCAAGATGGCGCATGCTCCCTGGATGATGACCGGGTCGGTGGGGAGATGCGGAGCGGGGCGAGCAGTACGAGGAAGGGGTCTACATCCTGGCGTCAGGTACGGGACGATTCCTGTTGGCCGCGCTGTATCGAGAGGACCCCGATAACTTTCATTTGCCATCGAGCAGCGAGTCGTCGGAAGCCTCTGATAGCCTTCATGAGGTTGACCGCAGCACAGGCCTCGCAGACCCATCCACCCTGTTTTTCTTTTCCGTTCCACCATGCTGGGCCCAACCCCTAAAAACGACAAGGGTGTCATTCTCTTGTACCGGTCATGACGCCGTTCCAATTATGCCAATTGAAAAGTTAATAGCAAGTATACTGAGGTAACACGGGGAGATGAGTTCACGTGGAGCCAACGAAAATAGCAAAGATTTGGTAAATCACAGAGAAATGGAGGTTGGAGTCA